GTCTCAGTTTCGGAAGTACATAACAGATCCTTCGCACGTGGTGCAACCGGATGATGTGGAAGTTCGGGAGAACTTCAAAACTCCCGTCAGACCACTTAAGATTCTCGATCGTGGCGAGAAGAAGCTTAGGAGCAAGATCATTCCGATGGTCAAAATGAAATGGACAGGAAGAACTCCTGAGGAGTGTACTTAGGAGCGAGAGGACGAGCTTCTCCGACAGTACCTCGAGTTTCGGGACAAGTATGTTTCTAATTCTGTGGACAAAATTATTAAAAGGTGGGGTGAATGTAAGGACCCGCACCGTTAAATTAGGAAATTAAATTAATTAAATGTGAAATTAGGAAATAATTCCATAATTGACCCTAATTATTATGAGAAGGCTTAAATAATTATGATTAGTGATTAATAATGCTGAAAGTTGCTTTTCTGACGAAAAGTGCAGATACCGGTTCTGCCTCTCGGTATAAATGTGCACCGATGAAGAATCTCGAAAAATTATAATAAGTATGAGAATGTTCCTAGAATAATACATAGGACTAGTATGTCAAGTTTCAAGTCAAAATAATGAATTTTGGTGTCAGAACTGATACTGGTTACGTAAAAGCGCGTACCGAAAAAGTGCTGCGAAAAATAAAATAAAAATATGACAAATCCGAGAAAAATGGCTATATTCAGAATCTCAAATTTGAGATTAAAATGATAGCGTAGCTATTAGTGCTAACACAGTGAGATTAAACTTAATGAGACTATAAATAGCGATTGGCACAAAGACCTAGGTCAGATTAACATCTTTCATACGTGAGTTTTCTGAAGCTTGGTTCAGCCACATTTCCACCCTTCTCCTCTCCAAGAAATCACTCTTCTCTCCATGGAAATCACCAAAGCTTTCATCTTTTACCTTCTCTATTCCATCTAATCACTAGGGAACCTTGAAAGCAAACACTTTGGTAGGGAAAAACCTCATCTTGGAGCCACAAATATTTTGCCCATGTGTGTTTAAACACCATCTCCATTTGTGAGAGCTTGAATCACCCCAAGCCATTGTAGAGTAGTTGTTTGGCAAGAAAGAACCAACTTTGAAGAACCATTTTTGTGCTCTTACCTTGGCAGTAGTGGGGAGTGGGTTGTAGACCATGAAGTTCCTTCCTTTTGCTGTCTTGAAGCTCTTGGGTATATACCTCAACACTTTCCTTTGTGTTTTCATGAATATAACATGATTTGAAGATGTAAAACTATGAGTTTTGATAATTTGAACGTTGGTTGATGACCTAAGTGTTAAAATACATGCTAAGTCGATGGAATAGATGTATCTAGGTGAAAGATGGAATTTTTAATGGACAATTTCGTGCTAGGCTGCTGTTTTTGGCCTCTGTCGCGAAATATCCGGATACGATATCCGGATATGACATATCCGGATACGATATCCGGATATGACATATCCGGATATGATATCGGGATATTGAGACAGCAACGAACCTGTTTCGGTAAATATTTGATATCTTGAGCTACAGAGCTCCAAATCGAGTTCCGTTTGACCTATGTGTAGATAACACCTAGGGCTACAAATCTGTAAAATTTAGTGGCTATTGGATAAGTGGTTTGATCTTAGTGTTAGTTTGAAGTCGCGTCTTGGTTGCTGGAAATTCAGTTTGCAGCAGTCACTTTGCGAAAATCATAACCGGAGTTATGAAACTCCGATTGAGACATAAAATATGTCGTTGGAAGGCTTGTGATGTCTAGTTTAACATAATAAAATATCAGAATTTTTGGTTAAGATTTGCAACTGCAGTTTTAAAAATGGTAGGCAAAGTTTGTTGTCGTATTCGTAAATTGAGTTGAATTCTTTGGAATGTTCTTCAAGGAAATGAATTATAGACTCTATGGTACTTGTAAGTGATGTTCTAAGGTTAAGGGACCTTAGAGAGTGGAATTAGTTTCTCCCACCTTGAGTTGGTGTCACTACGTAAAGAATGGCTACGTAAAAGATAATTTATAAAAGAATGTCGTAAACGAGCATATTTATTAATTGTCTTTATATCTTGAAATATGTTGTGATTTTGTGAGGGCCTATGATTGTGGTCCTTTGGATACTGAGAGCTCATTGGAGCATGTTGCAGATAAGGTAAGCTTTCGTGTCCTCGATTTAGACATTGTTGGTTCCACCATATCTCATGGGGGAATGGTTTATATGTATGATGTGTTTTCATGTATTGATTTATCAAACTGCTTTTGAGCTGTTAAGTGCAAATGCCCTATGATATGTATGTGATGTTTCGCCTAGACGGGATGGGTATCCTGTGGGCAGGTAGGACATGGGTGTGTACTATGTGGGTAATGGACGTATGTAAATCCTGCATTTCTCTGGCCAGTAGAATAGTTGACACACATGACATGATTATCTGCTGCATTGCACTGATTTTGGAACTTACATTGTTAAACTGTTTTTAGAACTTATATTACACATGTAAGTGAGCTTGGGGTGGAGAAATCCTTGAGGACCCCTTGTCTTACTGAGATTTCTGTTTAGAGATCTCACCCTCCGTTTGGGGCACCATTTTCAGGTTCAGGTAATGCGGGGGTTGAGACCTTTAGCGGCAGGAGGCCGAAGCTTAGCTGATATTTCTGCTTTTATGATGATATGCTTGGATGCTGACATGTCTTGTATTTATTATCGTGTTTTTGGAGATGAGACTCTGTTGGCTATGTTGTTTTATTTGGTGAGCATGGGGGTTCTCCATGCCACATTGACTTGACTTTATGCCTTTAGTTTCGAGTTGTTTAATTGTATCAGGATATTGGTCCGGACTACGTGTTGTAGTTCCGTGACTTAGATACTCACTTATATATATATTGAGGTTATTCAGTGTAGCTAGCTGTCTTCTTGCAATTTACATACAGACAATGTTTTAAAAGAACTAAGTAATCAACTTGATTAATTTTAGTGACGTCATAATTGAACAGAAAAAGATATTCCGCATATTTAATTAAGCGTGACTTAATACGATGACATATTAACAAACCGGGTAGGGTGTTACACCCTGACAATTGGACTTAAGTTGAATAATATGGGGACATGAATGATTTTGAAAGTATATCTCCATCTGATTTTGTTTCTAGTGTAGATATTAGGTTCAAGGGGAAACCATTTGTTCCAATGATGGTTGGTTCTATAACTGTCCTTTCAGGATTGATATTCTCACATATGCATATAGAGATGTCATAACAATGATTGTCTACCACCAATTACATCCTTGGAAAGAAAGGAAAGATGGAAAACTATGGCTCAAGCTTCATGACGGGCTCCAACTTAGTTGTATTATAGTAAATGAAAATAAAGCAAGCTGCTAATCTTGCTAGTTGGAGTTCTCTTGGTGGTCAAAGACATTGGCCAACAGATAAGGATTTTGCTATTTATTTTGGATCAGTTCTTCCTGCCAAGGACATTATACCTTGTCGAGTAGTGAATGTATCCTTAATTATTATGAAGATTAGAGCGGCTCACACTAAAGAAGAGGGGTTCAAACAACTCTTGAATTAACAGAGCTATGTACTTGGAAGACATGGAAAGTGCTATTGTCAATGGGGTTCAAACTTTATTTAAATTTATATATAATAAAAATTTGTGGATCTTAAAAATATATTCCACTGGAATATATCTAAGTTTTTACATATAATTTAGAAATCATTAAAAATGGTTAACAAGAAAAAAAATTACCAATCAAACGAGTTTTTTTTTTTTTTTTGAAAACTTATTCTCGAAACAAATTTACCAAGTAGATTTTTTTATTCTTTAATTTTAAAAATATTTTCAAAACAAATCTATCAAACAAGTTTTCACAAATAATGAATCACAAAGAATTATGTCAAGAAAATCAAGTATATGTGAAATTAAGGTGTAGATAGTGGACTTTCATGCATGATAATGAACAAATTGATACTACCATAACTAACCTCTACTCTATATGAAGTTTTGATATTCTCTCTCTTTAAATAAATTTTATATTATTTTCTTAATAATTTATTATACTCTAATTCTTATTATTAGTCTTTACCTTAATTTTCTGTTAATATCGTGACGGTCATTGAAAGACAAGTGGCGACCAGGACTATACAAAATATTATTTTTAATTTTTAGGCTTAAAATTTGAATTAAAAAATAAAAAATAAAATATATTTTTGTAATTTTATACCATTTTGAAGTTGAGAACAATTCTGATTTCAAAACCGCATTCCATGCTTGATTCCATTCGTGCAAACGGCGCCTAAAAAAATGAATTGGATAATACCTGCGTGCATGTATGGCTCCCATCCCGTATAAAATTATGAATATTGCTTAGTGATCACTCTTCTCTAATAATCCCTAAACAGAAGCTCGAGAGTCGATTGGGAAATAAAAAATATCCTTTTACAATATCTGTGTCAGATTCAGGCATTATTAACTTACGCTTAATTTTTCTAAAACTAATAATTATATCCGCATCAGACATTGGCACGGCACGGCACGGCATTTGCATTTTCTCCCTCAAAAATTAAAACATTGGAAGTGAAAATTGATGCACTGTTGCCAAAAATCATAAATATGAATAAATGACTTGTGTGGTGGTGTGGTGCATGGACGTGGCTGGCATTCGAGCATTTTCGTAATTAAGGAAGAGGCCACAAGCAAAGCCATCTCCAAAGCCACAAAGACAAGAAACAAAACAACACACAACAGCTTTTTTAAAACTCAGACCTCCATTCGACGCTGTTCTTTGCCTACGAAGGGCAGCCACCTTCGTGCGATTGTGTCTATAAAAACTGTTTACAAACAAAACCAAACCAAACCAAACCAAACAAACCACCATCCCATCCCACATCATTCTTCCTTCAACTTTTACATACATTTATATATTATCCATATAGAATCGTTACGCTATAGCTTTATTATCTTGTATTATTATTATTATCATTATTATTATTTTTATTATTATTCAGCAAATTCATTGTGTTTTCTGAATCGGATGGGAGACAGAGAGAGAGAAGAGAGTGCGAAAGCGATTAACTCGCCGTCATCCTCGACAACGGGAGACACGAACCGTTTCGATTCGGTAAGGTCGTCAATTGTGGAGTCGTTTCGATGCGGCATCACGGGTCTCCGTGTCGACAAGGAGGAGCTGAGGCAGAATCTCACAATGCCGCAATACCTCCGGTTCGCAATGCGCGATTGCATCAGGTTCCAGGACCCCGCAGCCGGTGAAAGCCGCTACATTATTCGCCGCAAGGACGACGAAAACGAAGTTGCGCCACGGACGCCAATCGTTGTTTTCATTAATCCACGCAGCGGCGGCCGCCACGGCCCTGAGCTCAAGGAGAGGCTGCAGCATCTCATGAGTGAGGAGCAGGTAATCATTTCTTTTTTTCTTTCTAATGAAATGAAATTTGAATGTTTTGTCATTTTGATTCTGAAAACATATCACGCGTGAAGAACTAAATTATGGGAGAAGTACATTTCCCTTTATTGTATTAGTCTAACTCAACTTACTTGTACTCCTTTTCCGATTCTGGTAAAATTTTTAAAATAAAAAAGAGCGTCCCTAAGTACCAAAATACTATTTTACTCCAATTTTTTTTATTTATTTATCTAAGGCCGTGCAACTTTAATGTTTTACTAACACCAGTTGTTAATTTTGGTGCATTTACCTACGGATCTGATTGTGATGAAGCGAATGTCGTTTTGAAGGATTTTATGTAGTCTCTACTGAAGTCTAGAAACTAACCACTTTTATCACTTCACGGTTACAATTTTCTTCTTGCAAGTTACCGAATGCGTAATTAGTGGCTGATATTGTTGCTTTGTTGTTAAAAAAATTTCACGTATTTATTCTGTGATTGATGTGAAGTTGTACCGCAGGTTTTTGATATATTAGACGTGAAGCCTCATGAATTTATCCAGTATGGGTTAGGTTGCCTGGAGATGTTGGCTGCTCTCGGTGATTCTTGTGCCAAAGAAACTCGTGAAAGAGTGAGGATTATGGTATGTTCCACTACGTTCATCTTGGTTGCACTAGAATATACATTTTATTTCACGTGATAAATTAAAGTATGTAATTGCACGGTTATTTGGTTTTCTACGGCATATTATCTTATTTATACCATGCCATACCAAATGATGGTACCTCAATTGTGTCAGAAAATTGAGTAGGTGAGGGTGAGTGCATGTGTTCTGTTCGATCCTCTTCAATATCATCTTTTGGCAGCGGGTTAAAGCCTTAATCCCAAACTCGTCCCGAATCGGACTGATGGCGAAGTGATGAACCAATTGTAATATTTTCAAAAAATAATAATCTTATATTATACCATTACTCTATGTTTGGTCTGTCCCGATTATGCACACCTTATTTAGAGAATAGGAAAGTTAAATTCGAAGGATGAGCTTTTACTTTTTTCTCTTTTTCCTGAATAATCCCAAATTTGTTCCTGAAAAATTTAGCAGCATGATAGAGGGGAACCCTCTATAGAAGACAGAATCAAAGAAGAAAAGAAAAGAGAAGAAGAATAACAGAGGAGAGAGTCAAGAGATGAGAAAAAGAATTTCTGTTTATTATTATTCATCAAGTGCAATGTACACCACACAATCTCTATTTTATTACACTTCCCATCTAACAGCCACTCATCCTTACACTAACTATTCCCTCCCTTTTGATTACACGTCACTCACCCCCAACTAACTACCTCAGTCATTCCTACACGTCATCCCTAAACCGAATGGGCCTTCTCTTTTCACGGTTTCCTTTCCTTAGAGCAATACTTTGCTCTGTTATCTGATTAGCATCCTCAATTGCTTCTTCTTTTGTTGTTGTCAATGTATCAATACCCCCTCCCCCCCCCCCATTAAAATCAACCTTGTCCTCAAGGTTCAAAGATGGATACTGTTGCTGAAATTCCTCCAAATTCTCCCAAGTGGTGACTTCCTGAGACATGCTATCCCAAAGAATTTGAACTTGCCGGATAGATTGCTCAATTTGTTGCAGGACACGATATGCTATAACTTCTTTTGGTTCCAATACTGGTAATCCACCATTAAAGATGTCAGGTAGAGGAAAATGAGGGATATGTTGTTCCCCTTTAAATGGTTTGAGCAGTGATACGTGGAAGGTATTGTGGATTTTTGCAGTGGCTGGTAAATCCAATTTGTATGCTACCTTGTCAATCTTCTTAATTATAGCAAATGGGCCAAAGTATCTATAAGAAAGCTTATTAGACATACGATCTGCCACAGAAGTTTGTCTGTATGGTTGTAAATGGACCCAAACTAAATTACCAACAGCAAAAGTCACCTCCCTTCTATGTTTATCAGCATTCTTCTTCATGGTGGCCTTAGCTTTCTGTAAATTAGTCTTCAATTGCTGTAAAATAACATTTCTGTCCTGCAATACTCGATTCACATCCTCTGAGACTGTAGGTGATGGAATGTAATCCAAAATTGGAGGTGGTTCTCTTCCAAAAACCACTTTGAAAGGTGTCATTCCAGCTGAGTTGTGAAAAGTGGTGTTATAACATAGTTTAGCCCAATGTAAAATCCTAGACCATTGCTTAGGAAATTCAGCAACAAAGCACCTCAAATATTGCTCCAAGACACGGTTGACAACTTCAGATTGCCCATCTGATTAAGGATGGTATGCAGTAGTGCGCTTTAAGGTTGTTCCACTTAGTTCAAAAAGTTCCACCCAAAATTTACTAAGAAAAATGGGGTCTCTATCTGTAATTATAGATCTTGGTAAGCCATGTAATCTGCCAACTAGTGTAGAGAAAAGTGCCGCCACCTTTTGAGCTGTAAATTTTCTTGGTAGACAGCCAAAATGAGCCTGTTTGAAAAGTCTATCCACTACCACTAATATTGTGGTATAACCATGGGATAATGGCAGACCAATAATGAAGTCCATAGTGAGATCTTCCCAAATTCTCTCTGGAATTGGGATTGGTTGAAGTAGTCTTGCTGGAGCTTGTGTTGAGTATTTCACTTGTTGACACACCACACAAGAATTAACAAAAATTTTCACTGCCTTTTGTAGACCTTTCCAAGTGAAACTGCTACTTACTCTTGCAATAGTTTTCTGTATACCCGTGTGTCCACTTGATAAGGTAGCATGACATTCGTGTAAAATTTTAGGAATGAAAGAAGATAAGGGATCTAGAAGCAACTTGCCTTTTTGTAACAGAAGACCATTTCTGATTTCTATATCAGCATGACTTTCCAGATTTGTTGTCAATTCTGTATGCAATTGTTGAAAGAATGGAGAGTTTTGATTTTCTTCCTTTAGCTGCTCTAGAATATCAAATTGAACACTAGAAAGAGACATGAAACAAAAAACAGTAGGGACTTGAGAGAGTGCATCTGCCACTCTGTTCTTTCTGCCTGGTTTATATACAATTGAGTATTGGAAATCCAAAAGTTTAGTTAAGTAATATTGTTGTTCAGGGGTTTGAATTACCTGATCAAGTAAGGCACTTAAACTCTTCTGATCCGTTCGAATAACAAACTTCCTCCCTAGTAGATATTGTCTCCATTTTTTTACTCCTTCTGTGATTGGATAAAGTTCCCTCACATAGGCAGAGGCTCGCTGCATTCTAAGGGATAATTTCTTGCTAAAGTAGGCAATATGATGCTCATCTTGTAACAGAACTGCACCTATGCCAACATCTGATGCATCTGTCTCTATTGCAAATTCTCTGTTGAAATCAGGGAGGTTTAGAACAGGAGTTGTTGTCATGGCTTCCTTCAGGCAAATGAATGCACTTTGAGCTGAATCTGACCAAGCAAAGGCATCTTTCTTCAACAATTCTGTTAGAGGTGCAACAATGGTTGCATATTGATAGACAAACTGTCTATAATAACTTGTAAGTCCCAAGAAACCTCGTAATTGTTTAAGGTTTTTGGGATTGGGCCATTTTAACATAGCTTTAATTTTGTTAGTGTCCATACTCACTCCTGTATGTGAGACAATATGTCCCAAATACTCCACTACTGACTGTGCAAATGTACATTTGGACCTTTTTATATAAAATTGATGAACCTTGAGTGTTGACAAAACTGCTTCCAGGTGTTGCAAATGTAACTCCATGGATGAGCTGTAAATGAGAATATCATCGAAAAAGACAGCAACAAACTTGCGTAGGAAGGGTTGTAGAATGATATTCATGGTAGCTTGAAAGGTGGATGGGGCATTTGTTAAACCAAAGGGCATCACTAAAAGTTCATAGTGACCTTGGTGAGTCCTAAAAGAAATTTTATGCACATCCTCAGGATTCATTCTGATTTGGTGGTATCCTGCCTTCAAATCAAGCTTGGAAATTTTTTTTGAGCCACCCAATTCATCCATCAATTCGTCAGCTGTTGGTATAGGGAACCTGTCCTTGATAGTGATACTGTTCAAGGCTCTAAAATCAATGCAAAATCTCCATGATCCATCTTTTTTCTTAACTAAGAGGACTGGAGAAGAGAAAGGACTTGTACTGGTACGAATGAAACCAGAATCTAACATCATCTTGACTTGTCTTTCAATCTCCCCTTTTTGAAAGTGGGGATATCTGTATGGCCTCACATTTACAGGTGTTGTATCAGGTTGTAGGTGGATGTGGTGGTCCAGTTGCCTATGTGGTGGCAGCTCTGATGGTTCTTGATAGAGTTCATCAAACTCCTTAAGTAATTTGGTTACTGCTGGGTTGGTATCAGAACCAGTATCTGATGGACTGTCATCAATAACAGATAATTGGAATAAGGAAGCTACCTGTCCTTGTTGCTGAATTTTTCGAAATTGGTTGAAAGAGATTGAAGTGGTATGTTTATCTCCTTGCAGCTTAATAGGTTCTCCTTCCCACGAAAACTCCATGGACAATTTTTGATAATCCAAGAGAATAGGTCCCAACAATTGCAGCCACTGAACCCCAAGTACTACATCTGCACCCTGTATTGGTAACACATAACAGTCAACTAAGAAAACATGTTGTTGTATTTGTACTAGTACAGCTGAACAGAATCCCTCACATTTTAACACCTGACCATTGACCACCATGACATCTGTAAAGAACCTTGGGATACACTATTCCAAAAGCTAGCTGAAAGGGTGAGAGTGCCCAAGACCTTATAAACTCCACATTAGTTGCACATACAACCAATGTGGGACTATATATCTCAACACGCCCCTTCATACGAGAGCCCATTGGGCTTGAAGAGTGGACAATGCAACAGGCCCAACCTACCTGTGCTAAGAACGCCACAAGAGAAAGTGGGGGGCAGCGAAGCTTTGATACCATGTAAAGAACCTTAGGATACACCTCCCCAAAAGCTAGCTCAAAGGGTGGGAGTGCCCAAGACCTTATAAACTCCACATTAGTTGCACATACAACTAATGTGGGACTATATATCTCAACAACTTGAATATAAAATAATATATTGTGTATTGATCTAATTCAGGGAGTTACAATATATAGAGACTCTAATGGGCTTATATGAAAGGCCCAGACCTAATACAATCAGAATAATTACAGACTAATCATATCTAATCAATCTAATCATACCTAATATATTCTAACACTCCCCCTCAAGCTGGTGCGTATATATTGTGAGCACCAAGCTTGTTACAAATGTATTGAACCCGAGGACCTCTAAGAGCTTTAGTGAAGACATCCGCTAGTTGATCAGAGGAGTTGACGAAAGCAGTCTTGATTTCTCCTGATTGAATCTTTTCTCGAATGAAGTGACAATCAATCTCTATATGTTTGGTCCTCTCATGAAAGACAGGATTAGAGGATATATGTAGCGCAGCTTGATTATCATAGATGAGTGTCATGGGTTGTTTCTGTTCACAAAGATGAAGCTCCTGAACCAGATTAACTCACAGGTAGTATTTGCCATTGCACGATACTCAGCTTCTGCACTAGACCGAGCAACTACAGGTTGTTTCTTGCTCTTTCACGAAATTAAGTTTCCTCCAAAGAAAACACAATAGCCGGAAGTAGAGCGTCTGTCCGAGGGTGATCCTGCCCAATCAGCATCTGAATAACCACAAATTTCTGTATTTCCCTGATCTGAATACAACAAACCTTTTCCTGGTACTCGTTTGATGTATCGGAGGAGCCTTACAGCAGCATCCCAATGTGAATCACAAGGGGAATCAAGGAACTGACTAGCCGTACTAACAGCGAAAGAAATATCTGGCCTAGTCACAGTAAGATAATTGAGCTTCCCAATTAGCCTCCGATAACGTCCAGGATCAGATAACGGCTCCCCTTGTCCGGGAAATAACTTGACATTAGGATCCATGGGTGTATCAACTGGTTTACTCCCCAACATACCATTTTCTTCGAGGATATCCTAGGCATACTTCCTTTGACAAATAGAAATGCCCTGTCTAGATTGCGCCACCTCAATTCCCAAGAAGTAACGCAGCTTCCCAAGGTCCTTTGTTTGAAATGCACTGAATAAATGTTGTTTTAACTGACGAATTCTGTCTTGATCGCTTCCGGTGAGAATGATGTCGTCAACATAGACTAACAAATAGATGCACTTGTCAGGAGATGTAATCCTATAAAATACAGAATGATCAACTTTACTGCGGATTAAGCCAAACCATGCTCGAGGAGACTGCTTGAGACCATATAAGGATTTTCGAAGACGACACACTTTTCCAGACTCCCCCTGAGCAACAAAACCAGGTGGTTGCTCCATGTAAACTTCTTCTTGCAAATCAGCATGAAGAAATGCATTTTTGATGTCAAGTTGAAGGAGTGGCCAGTGACGAACAGCAGCAAGGGCAAGAAATAGGCGGACTGACGCCATCTTAGCGATCGGAGAGAATGTATCGTCATAATCAAGGTCAAAGATTTGAGTAAAACCCTTGGCAACTAGGCGTGCCTTGAGTCGATCAACATGACCATCAGGTTCAACTTTTACATTAAACACCCGGCGACAACCAACTATAGACTTCTCTGGAGGAGCAGAAACAAGGTCCCAAGTGCCATTGGAATGAAGTGCAGTCATCTCATCAAGCATCGCTTGGCGCCACCCTGGATGGGAAAGTGCTTCACCTGTGGTCTTAGGAATAGAAATAGAAGAAAGACTAGAAACAAAGGTGAAATGAGGTGAAGAAAGACGGTCATAGCTCAAAAAGGTATAAAGAGGATAAGGGTTACGAGTAGTACGTGTACCTTTTCTTTGAGCAATAGGAAGAGCCTCTGGTGAAGGATCCGGAGTGGAAGTCTATAGTTGGTTGTCACTGAGTGTTTACTGTAAAAGTTGGACCTGATGGTCATTTTGATTGAATATAAAATAATATGTTGTGTATTGATCTAATTCAGAGAGTTACAATATATAAAGACTCTAATGGGCTTATATGAAAGGCCCAAACCTAATACAATCAAAATAATTACAGACTAATCATATCTAATATATTCTAACAACATCAAATTGTATATCATTTACTATAGGTAGTTGAAGATCAGAAACTACTCTTGGCTGCACAAAATTATGAGTGCTGCCATCATCAACCAACAATAGCATCTTTGATTTCCCAATAAGTCCCTTAAAACGTAATGTCTGAGGCACCACAAAACCAGATAAGGCATGCATACTGATTTGTGGTGTATTCATGTCAGTAGGTTTTGTTTGTAGTGTTGAATTCTCATCCATGCAGTCAGAATTAGGATGAACCTCACCATCTATATTTTCCTCTTCAGGGACAATTAACCATGCACCGAAGCTTTACATTTGTGGCCTCTAAAATATTTTTCACCACAATAAAAACACAGATTCTTATCTCTTCTTTCTTGAATTTGGCTTTGGGTGAGTTTATGAGTAACAATGGGTTTTATCGAGTTTGTGTTTTGGTTGGTATGGTTATGTATAACAATGGGTTTTATTGTGTTTGGGTTTTGGTTAAATCTCGACTGTGGTGTGGGTGTTGGTAGTAATGGAGGGTAGGGTGAGTGTAGTTTTGGTAGGTTGTTCTTAAGCTGTAGTTTGGACTCTTGTATCTTGGCTAGTGACATTGCATGTGACAAAGAAGAAGGCCGAAATGCAGACACATCATGTTGTATTTCATGTTTTAATCCTGAGATGAAACAACTTACCAAAAAAGATTCTGATAGACCATCTACTTGATTTGATAAATGTTCGAATTGCTCCTGGTATTCAAGCACTATTCCCGTTTGAAGCAATTTAGTCAGTTGGCCCTGATAATCTTCCATTTCAGATGGACCGAATCGTGTTTGCAGAGATTTAAGAAATCTTGACCACGAATCGATGTTGGAATTTTTGTTGAACCACTGGTACCATTTTAGAGCTTTGCCCTCAAAGTAGAAAGGGGCAATCTTCAATCTTTGTTCCACTTCCATATCGTAGAAGTCAAAGAATTGGTTGATTTTGTAGATCCAACCTTGTGGGTCTGTCAATCCATCATAGCGTGATACCTTCAGCCTCAGATTCTTCGCTGCTGCATGGTCACGTGTGTTTGAATGTTGAGTGTTTGTTGAGCTATTAGGTGATGGTTGCCGTTCTTTGTAGTTGTCAAAGATTGCGTCCAGTTTGCAAGTCAATTCCTGGAAGCGTTTGTTCATCTGTTCCTTCAACACCTCTACCTCCGCTTGTGTGTTCTCCCAACGATCGTCCATGGGTCGAGCACGAGTTTCAAGAGCCATAGCTCAGGATGAAAGCACCAGTTGATAGAGGGAACCCTCTGTAGAAGACAGAATCAAAGAAGAAAAGAAAAGAGAAGAAGAATAACAAAGAAGAGAGTCGAGAGATGAGAAAAAGAATTTCTGTTTATTATTATTCATCAAGTGCGATGTACACCACACAATCTCTATTTTATTACACTCCCCATCTAACAGCCACTCATCCTTACGCTAACTATTCCCTTCCTTTTGATTACACATCACTCACCCCCAACTAACTACCTCAGTCATTCCTACACGTCATCCCTAAACCGAATGGGCCTCCTCTTTTCACAGTTTCCTTTCCTTAGAGCAATACTTTGCTCTGTTATCTGATTGGCATCCTCAATTGCTTCTTCTTCTGTTTGGTCTCTCCTGATTATGCATACCTTATTTACAAAATAGGAAGTTAAATTAGAAGGATGAGCTTTTACTTTTTTCTCTTTTTCCTCAATAATCCCAAATTCGTTCCTGAAAAATTTAGCAGCAGCACACATATTAGTCGTTGAAAATGCAAAAACCCTTACTAAGATCCCCGAGAACTACAAATGTCTGGCTATATTAGTCTCTGTCAAGAATTAATTTGTCCGGTGCCTAAAATCTTTTAATTTGTCCGGTGCCTAAAATCTTATGTGACCTTTAGTTCGTAAGGAATAGGTGAGATTTTTGCATTCCCAATGACCAAATTTCCGGGGGACGAATATGTAGTTAAAAATTCGATAAATTTCTCTCGGAAAGAACCTAGATAGCGATAATTCAGATAGTGAATACTGAATTCACATATTAGTTAGCAATCATAATGGATGAATCTGGTTGACTTGACAGGTTGCTGGCGGTGATGGTACAGTTGGCTGGGTATTAGGATGTCTCACAGAACTTCACAGACAAGATCGGAAGCCAGTTCCTCCAGTAGGGATCATACCACTTGGTACGGGCAATGACCTGTCTAGGAGTTTTGGTTGGGTAAGAATTCATATGCCTAGAAACTATTTGTTAATTGAATGTTGTCTAGTATGCTAATGTTTCTTTTTTCATATATTATTACTAGGGTGGTTCGTTTCCATTTTCATGGAAGCAAGCTATTAAGAGAACTATTTACAAGGCTAGTATTGCTCCGATTTGTCGTTTGGATAGGTATATATATTATCTTATTATTTTGAATATTGGAGTGTGCTAGACTTCTTCATGTTGGGGTCTGCATATTCGTTATTTGTAAAATTGTTATCAGAGTTCAATTTGTTGTTTGGCAGAGAATGTGAGCCTCTCATTTATTAAATTGTCAATTCAATATCTGAAATATTGTGGCATAGCTATGCTATGATCCTCTCATTTATCTAGCTTTATGTCATGTTTAATATTTTCCTCTTGTTCTATTATAGAGATTGAATTGACCTAAGTAATATGTTACCGAAATTTAGCATCATCATAACTTCTAAGTTTCTGAGTTGCCATTATCATCTATAATATCTTCTTCAAACTTTGTTTAAATTTCGTTGTTTTCAATTCTAGTACGTAAAGAATGGAACCTGTAGTTTTACTAAATAGATTAAGATACTTAGATGCCTAGGTAACTGACAATGTTTTCTTATTGGTGTGAAGAAATTAATGTATTTCATAAGTTTCCTGTTTAATATGATTAAGTTTTTATACAATCAAGACCATAAGAGGCACCTGAATAAGTTCCCTATTCAAATCTAGCAAACAGCTTACAGGATCTTATGGTAGCATATTAAACTTTTATGCTAAATTTTTTTCCAATATATATCCGGTGTTTCTTATCTTGTTTATATGTTTTCCTGGACTGATTTAATTTTGTTGTTGGAAATGAAATTACTAATTCAAATGAGTTTTTGCTTTCTGCTTTACATGCCCAATAATAGTTTTATGGAAAGCGTGCTGACAATTAATTAAAAGTTCACTTTGCATTGTCTACGTTAACATGGATGACAACTATAAATATGTTTCATTTTCAGTTTTTTTTTTTAATTCAGGTTCTCTTTGCTTTGATATTCCCATTGTTGTAATCATGGTTTTAAATTGCGGTTCGCAACTGCGATTGCGGCCACAATATTGTGGTTTTGGCAGTCTACCCAACCACATCATAATTGCAATTGTTCCTCTATCAACTGTAATTACTCGCAATTATTCGTAATTTTTGTAATCGTAATGCAATTGCATCTGTGATCGACCACAACATCACTTGCAATTTAAAACCATGGCTGTAATTAATACATCAGTTTGGTATATTTTGTGTTAAATTTTTTTATGCAGTTGGCAAGTTTCACTTTCAATGCCAGAAGGCCCAACAGTGGAACCACCACATTCTCTGAAGAATACAAAAGAGTTCACTCTTGATGAGGTTGCGGTCCTGTTTCTTGCATCAGATATTTATTTTAGTTATCTGTACTATTAATCAGTTAGGCTTCTTTTCTAATTGCTGGCCATTGAGAATGTTGCCTTCAGGATATGATTTTGGCAATACATACATAGACAGTGAATGATTGGAATGTCTCAAGTTTTGAATGAAATAATCACCAATATTACTTAACAAAATAGATTATGTCAAAAGGGTTTTCAACAAACCTATTAGTTATTATATTTTTTGTGTTATGCATATGTTTAATCACTGAGGCTTGATTGTATTGTCTACGATATGTTCTTATATCTTTTTGATGACTTAACAAATAAATCATTTCATACTATAAATTTTAATCACGGGGTACTTTTGAAATGTGCATTTTCCCCTTTTAATTTGATGAGGAAGTGTTAATTTTTATTGTTATTTTAAGAGTCATATGTGCCTCAGGTAATTTTTTCATAGGTCATGCGAACTGATCCATTATGGAATGGGCTCACCAGTTTGTTCCATTGGTCCTCGTGTATTGTGCTAGTAAGTGTCAAACTTAATTTCTCGATGACTTCCAGTAATGCACTTTATCAAACTCGTGCAATTGAAGTAAACGTAATCTTGTTGACGGAAGAGAATGACAATAAGATTATTTTTTATTTTTTCATTCTTGTGAAATTCACGTGTGAACCTTGAATGATTGCATCCAGTACACTCAGCTTTCTATGATGAATCGGTACGCTATTTTGTATAATGCTGTAGTACAAAAATCATTGTTTTTAGTATTAGTGTTTTCGTCATTCAAATTTTCTGAACTTAATATATTGGTACAATTTCTTTTTCTTTTTGTTTTTTATTTTAATATATAAAGTTTCTTGTGTCTGAAGGGCTTAGAAGTTGAAGGAGAGCTGCCTGAGGAAGTTATATGCTATGAAGGCGTGTTCTACAATTACTTCAGTATAGGTACTTTGACTTTTACGTTGGTAGTGTCATTCTGCTAAAGTGCTACTTGAAATGAATTTTTATCGTCAAGTCAGTGTTTAGTAGTGTGTTAGGATTCAGTTGCAAGGTTTGAGGCTTAGAGTTAGAGTTCTATATAGAAATATAAGTTTTTGGTGTAGGGTTTATAGGGACTTTTGGTTTTCCTACCTTATAAGTTAGCTTTTTGGGTAAGGCTCTTTCAAAGTTCGTATTAATTGGTATCCGAGTTTCCACCATGTCTTCCATTTGCAATCAAGTGGATGGAGCAACTAGTGATGCTGACATTGCTGTGTTCGCCTAGAGCTAGTAAAAAATTAGTGCTAAGCTTGCGGAGCATGGTGAGATGTTATGATTCAATTGCAAAGTATGAGACTTAAGTCCCACATCTGAAATATAAGGTTCAGGTGTGGGGTTTAATATGAACTTTGAGCTCTTCTACTTTATAAGCTAGCTTTTGGGGTGAAGCTCTCACAAGATTGCTATAATTGGTATTAGAGTTTCCACCATGTCTCCTAATTATAATCGAGCGACGCGACGGGTGACATTTGCATATTGCAATATTCGCCCAAGGCTAATAAAAATCTAGCATCAAGAAAGGTCGTTTGGGGTTCGGAGATACAAACGTAGGGAGATACTATGATCCAATTGCAAGGGGTATGAGACTTAGAGTCCCACATCAGAAATATAAGATTTTAGTGTAGAGTTTATATAAACTTTGAGCTCTCCCACCTTATAAGCTAATTTTTGGGATGAACTCTCCTAAAATTGATATCAGTGCCTTGGGTTTGTAATTCTCAGTAATTTTTGTCTGTTTCCTGTTGTTGATGTGATTTAAGAATTTAGTTTTGACTTATTATGCATGTTGCCTGTATTTTGTTGGGTATGGGTCATACTTCACATGCTGATGATGCCTCTAGTTGTCGGGATCAGTAGAAAGGCAATTGGGATCCTGCTCCCAGATGAGCGGCCGCCAGGCCCGTAGAGACTAGGTACTATTATGGGCCTCTGATTTATTGTAATTTTCTTAGCAGTTTGGGCTTGGGCCTATGAATAGTTGCTGTTAGGGTTTTCTATTCCTATTTATATTTTCCTTGTAAACCGAGTTTTCCTTGTAAACCGAGTGACTTGTAACAAGTGGCGATGAGGTGAATATAGTACAGACAAGCTGGACGTAGCCTAAATTGAGTGAACCAGGGTAAATCTCTGTGTCTATTCTCTCTCTCTTTTCTCTTTTCGTTTGCAATTTGTGTGATTGTCGATTTCCAACATATTTTAGTACGTCCAAACATTTCCTTTTAAGCCCGCAAATATTTAAAACAATGGCTTCAGAAACTATAGCAGACCATGTTCCTCCCAATGGGACTGCTTCACTGAAGAGAAACGAGAATTTAATTATGCCTCAGATTTTGTGTTTACTATATCAGCATCACTTCTATTCTAAATTGGTTGGGATTAGCAATCTATGAGCCCATATAAAAGTTAAAATAGATTAAGGAAAAATAAATAGAAACATAGAAAAATTGAAAAATTAAAATTAGCATGGGTACTGTAGTTTGAAACAGGTGGGGTCCACTTCGTAAGCCTTTTTATCTCACCCGTTTTGCAAGCAAGCAACATCCCCTTCTAGCAAAAATAGCTCTTTTTATAGACGGCTTGTTAGAAAACATGACATGGGACACGCTTGGAACTTGTTTAAAAGCACTTTTTCTTTAGTGGTGTGTGTGTGTGTTTGTCCATCTTCATGAGCAGTCACCTCATTGTCATCCCTCATATGCCTCCGTTGTCCTTCGATCAACTGGTTCTCTACCCTTACCATTATCCCTCGTCCTCTTCATCGCATTCTGCCTCATCCTTGTCCCCATCCTCCTGTGTTGTGGATCCTTGGTAGCAGAACGGAGGGGTGTGGTTCAGTGGGGTAGCAGGCTTGAATTTAATATTTGTTTTGCAAATAACTTAATCCAAATAAACTTTCGTTTTACTGATCTTATAACCTGCATTAGTGAATATGTGAGAATGCTCAGCTTGGGTGCTTGGATGATTTTTTTTTTTTTTTTTTTTTCAAATACCTTAACTGAATCTCTAATTTGTATTTGTGGGCATTCTTAGAGCTTCTTATATTTTACAGGAATGGATGCTCAAGTGGCTTATGGCTTCCATCATTTACGCAATGAAAAACCTTACCTTGCGCAGGGTCCAATTACAAATAAGGTATTGACTAGTAGACCTCTTGAGCTGTTGAATGTGTTTCTATAGATTAAGTTCATTTTTTGATTACTTCCTTTTTTTCATGGTACCATTTTTCAGGAAGTAAACGTATATGCTAGCTTTTTTTTTGGTAGCACACTTTATTTTCAATCACTTAATTTTTTTCATTCATGTACAAAGTCATACAGCTACCATTAATTCATGTCTTGGTAAAACTGATCTGATGGATTTTAATCATACCAATTGTGACCAATTTTTTTTATTTTTTTTTAACTTTTTATTTGGGTTCAACTACCCAAAACTTCAATTAGTTTGGGATAAAGAAGATGTTGATGTTGGTTTTTGTAGATTTTATACTCTGGTTACTCTTGCACTCAGGGCTGGTTCTTCACAACTTGCACAAGTGATCCAAGTTTAAGGTAAGATATATCTCAACTTAAACAGTTCATCCATATGATGATTTTTGTTTAACTGAATGATTTCAATTTTCTTCCGGTGTAGCCAATTTGATTTATATCTTCATCTGCGTCCAGCATGATCCTCGAGTATTAGTGTGTATGAGAGAAGCAGGGTAGTTTCTTTTGATTTATGGTAATATGTGGTTTGTTTGTGCATTTCAAAATGGTTGGTCAGTTTGCAGTTTATATTAAAACTTATTGGGTGCATTTTACAGATGAAATTGGATTTTCAATATCATTTACTCATTGATAAGTAGCTAAAGAAATTTTTTTTTAGCATTCAGCATGCAGGTTTCATTCAAGGTAAATTTGGTTACTATTTTCATCGAGAAAATTATTTGGTTAAATCTGGAAATAATGATGTCTGTAGCATTAAAAAAGATCAAATTAATTATTAAAAAAAAAAGATCAAATTTACCTTTGGTGCAATTATTATTTTCTTCATTCAAAAGGATTTAAGACATAGCTGCTGGGCTACAAATTGTTAGGAAGCACTTATATTTTGCTGTTCCATTGGCATACATAAATCACTTGGTCTGAATTTTGCTTTGGCTTTTCTAATGGAAACATTCTCAATATACTTGTATCTCTTCTGCTTTTACTTTGTTCTTTGTTCATGTGCATTTTCCCCTGAAGCCTCTTAACTTTTTTGGAGTTTATGATCTTTAATTGATAATTTCTTCTAGATGTCCTTTTGCTGCATGGGTTAAGTCCTCTGTTTACAGTAGTAAAATATAGTGACTTGCCTAATAACTAATTATTCTGTTCCTAATGACTAAATTTTTTTTTTATTTTTTTTCATTATTCTGGCATCAGAGGACTCAAGAACATTTTGCGAATGCATGTCAAAAAGTTCGATTGTTCAGAATGGGAGCAGATTCCAGTTCCTACAAGGTATATTTCAATCATATAAGTTTTTCTGGTACACATTATTAACTGTTAACAAATCAGCGTTTACTTCTTACAATATTCTAGTTGCTGGCGATTTCCGTATTCAAAGATCTGACTTTCGTTTTAGCTCTTTGAGTCGTAAATTCTTCCAATTTGCTTAAGATTATGTTATTTGTTCTCAGCGTTAGGGCAGTTGTTGCTCTGAATCTTCATAGTTATGGAAGTGGAAGAAATCCATGGGGTAATCTGTCGCCAGAATATTTGGAGAAGGTATAGAACTCCTGATTCCTTTGATGATCATATGTTGCAGTGATGGTATAAATGCGTTCTTTCTTTTTATCTTATACCAAATTTTCTGTTAGAGACACTGGTGAACTGTTATCTTTGGTCTCCCCTTTGGGTAGTTTTCTGGAATTGTTTTTTTGAATATATATATATATATATATATATATATATATATGTAAGTAAGATAAGATTACTAGCATACACATACTTTTCTTAGTCTGAAATGTCACTGATACATAATAATGGGAAATTGCGCAGAATATCTTTTTTTCCCATTCCTTTATAATCGGAAACTTCTGGAAACACTGCTTCCATATAACAGATGTGTCCATCAGATATCTTATTTGACTGTATTATTTGACTGTATTTTTGTCTATATCTTTTGGACTGTATTTGCATATGCTTTTCTTCCCACCCTCTTATTTGCTTGTTGATTATACACTGAGTAGACAATGTCTTTATGGTAATTACCAATTTACCATTGATTTATACCAACTTGGCTTACTTGATAAATCAGTCACTTGTAATCCAAATTTAAGTATCTTTAAATGGAAACGCTTTTTAATGTACTTCCAGAGAGGCTTTGTTGAAGCACATGTTGATGATGGACTTTTGGAAATATTTGGTCTAAAGCAAGGATGGCATGCATCATTTGTCATGGTTGAGCTGATCTCTGCAAAGCACATAGCTCAGGTAACACATGTTATTCTGACACTGTTTATTGTTTGTGATTTGGGTGTTTTAGAAGATATTGGGGTTACTAGTCTTATTAGTAGTGGGCTTGGACTTGTACTAGTAGTATTAGTGCTAGAACTAACTAATACTTAGAGCCTGTTTGTTTGGGCTTTTAGAAGAAGTAGCTTTTACCTCTTCTTTATTTTAAAATTGCTTTTTACAAAAAGTTAAAGTTATTTATATTTTTATAAAAATATTTAGTTTTTGAAAAAAATATTTGGCTTTTGACTTCTGCTTTTTTTAGAAGCTAAAATTTTTAACTTTTAAAAAAAGCAGGTTTTTGACTTTTTTTGTGACTTCTGTTTTTTTTAAAAGTGGACATCCAAACAAACTTAAAGTGAGAAGTGCTTTTTTTTCTTGAAAAAAGTAACTTTTGAAGAAAAAAAGCTCATCCAAACGGGACCTTAATAGTATAAATAAGAGCATTAGGGTATTGAATTTGAGTGATATCTTATTATCAATCTCACAATTCATTGTCAGCCGTCATTTTCTATATTTCTTTTTCCTTGTTTGAAACCTAAAGTTTCAACAGAGTGAAAATATGAACTCAAGATTTGTTACGCATCAAATGTATAAACCTCCTCCTCGAAGGGTATATTCGAGAAGAAACAAAAGAAAGGAATAAAGGGGTATGAACCATGTGGGTTAGTTAGTTGGTTGAGTTTGTACATCAGTAGTAGAGGTGGGGTATAAATAGTAAGGCAGGGGTCTTATAGGAGGTATGGAAAATTAGACATAGTTTCAGGAGGAACAAGTACGTCATTATAAAAAGGGTTGGCCAAGAGTTGTTTTCTTGTATTTCTTTGATTACATAGTAATAACATCAGTTGTTTCTCTATCACCTATAGTCCGGTTGTCTTTGTTATTTGCTAATCTTCGTAATAGTGGTCCGACCTACTGGATCGTTTTCGTCGACGCTATGGCGAAAAGTGACTCTAAGATCAAAGCATTAGAAAAATCGTTCGAGAACTTTCGCAAGGAAACCAGCGATTCTTTAGAAGCCTTTCATCGGGAAATCACTGTGTCTTTGAAAGAGATGGTGGAAGCATTGAAGTCTACCACGAGGGCTCTGAAACGAATACCCACTTATGACAAAAAATTCGAAGATATAGAGGAGTTCTGCTTTAAAATGAAGACATGGATGATCAAGATGGGGGGCGACCCATCGGACTTCCCACCAGTTTCCCTCTTGAGTGATGCAGATGCAGAAAGTGCGGCCACGTCAGAAGATCGTACGTGGGCACAAAAGGTTGAACTACGGGGGCATTTGGTATAGGAGAAAAAAAATTTCAACCAGGAACTAAAATTTGCAGAGATAATGGTTGGAATTTTTTTAGCCGGGTAAGTTAAAAAAGGGTGTTTGGTATGACAAAAATTTTTTAGAAAAATTGGATGAATTTTAATGATGTTTTGTTTGGATGATTGTAAAATATTGATGGGAAAGTGAATTAAATTTACCAAACTACCCCAAAAGTCTTGTTCCACACCTATTAGTAAACTAATCAGCTGAGGGTTGAAACGAAACTTTCTGAGAGTAATTTTGTCTTACAAAAGTCTGATAGCTTCACCACCGCGAAGCAAAATAATTTTTCCATACTGTCAATGGCAAAATTCTGCAACTAATGTATGTGCTAAAAAATTGGACGAGAAAACGTTTTTCCCAGACCCTCTTAAAAGTCTTCCTCCTACCAAACATGGGTATCTATTTTACCCTACCCTGTTTTCCCAGAAATTTCTTTTTTCCTCCTACCAAACACCCCCTATCTTCTTTCGATGGCACCGACCCATTTGGATGGCTTTGTCGAGCGGAAAATTTTTTTGAGCTCCAAGAAATTCCGATAGCTGAGTGAATCCAGCTACTGTTTGTGAGTATGGAGGGAGAGGCGATACATTGGTTTCAGTTTATCCAGTGCAAGACTCCGAATCTTGACTGGTTTATGTTAAAAAATGCGATGATTTTGCATTTTGGAGATGGGTCTCGGGGCGGAATATACGAAAGACTATCTACCTTAAGCCAAGAGGAGAAAGTGGCAAAATATATCAAGGCATTTGAATCCTTGGTGGTGCAAGTCACGGAGATGAGCAATGAACAAATGTTAAGATACTTTATGGGTGGTCTGCAACCGGATATTCACCGGCGGGTACTCACTTTGGGGCCAACAGATGTATTGCAGGCCATGCGATTGGCGCATTTTGTAAAAAAAGAGATATTGGGTTGCAGCAATTCCCAATGCCCAACATGTCGTGGGCCTATTTCTGGGGTTAGAACTGGGAGTACTGGTTGGAATAACCGAGTTGGGCTTACTAATACTTCCAGCCCATCTTCACAAGCTTCTATATATAACTAATCAACAGGGTCTAATAGCCATCTACGAGGAGATAAGCATCTGAAATCGTCTATAAGCACTAATTCAGGAAAAAAAGGGTATTACCAACCCTAACCCTAGTTTTACAAGGAAGGGGTCACAACAATTGCCCTATAACGAGCATATTCGAAGGAGAGAAGAAGGGAGGTGTTCCATTGTGGACTCTCGTTTAGCCCGACACATCGCTGTTCGGAGAAAAGCCTTCGAATTACAATCTTGGGAGAAGAAAAAGAGGTAACTACGAAAATTGACAGGGGTGAGCTGGAGATGAACGCGGATAGGGGTGAGTCCACAACTACTCAGCTTTAATGGCTCAACTTGTCATAGTGCTCTGCAGATGGGTTTACTTCACCCTAAGACGACGAAATTACGAGGCTTAATGAAGGAAGAAAGTCCTGATTGATAGCGGAACTAGCCACAACTTTGTCAATTTGGCGTTGGTTCGACGGTTAAAGGTACATGGAACGCTCGTGTTTAGGGTGAGGTTGGGGATGGTCAACAACAGTGGAGTCAAGGTTGTTGTACCCAATTTACGGTGATGTTGAAGGATCATCTGGTGGTGGTTGACCTCTATATGTTCGAGTTGGGAGGTGTTGATATCATTTTAGGCGTGTCTTGGTTGGAAACGTTAGGAGAGGTCCGGGTTAATTGGAGAGAACTCAGAATGTCTTTCCCTTTCCTTCAACGAGGGGAGATAGTCAAGATTCTTGGGGACCCAAATCTGTCATGCACTCTAGTGTCTCATAAGGCTCTGTTCAAAACCGTTGAAGCAGACTCTTTGATTGTGATTCTTCCTGTGATGGTTCTGCAAAAAAAGGGACTTTGAGGACTTCCTTCGGGAGAAAGGGCTAGATCCACTACAGGAGGCACAACTCCAAAGGTTACTTGAGTAGTTTGCTTCGGTTTTTCAACTTTCGGTAGGACTTCCTCCATAGTGAGCAGTTACTCATAAAATCTCCTTGAAGGAGGGGGCGAAGCCCATTAACGTTCGACCATACCAGTACCCCCACCTGCAGAAGAATGAAATTGAAAGGCAAGTGAAGGAGATGCTAGAATATGGGTTTATCCGTGCAAGCAGTTGTTCGTATCCAAGTCCAATGATCTTAGTGCGGAAGAAAGATGATAGCTGGCGAATATGTGTCGATTACCAAGCCCTAAACAAGGAAAAAGTTTCCAATCCATATTATTGAAGAATTATTGGATGAATTGTATGGGGCAACTTATTTCTCTAAAATTGATTTGAAATTTGGATATAACCAAATCAGAATGCATGAACCAGATATCCCTAAAACAACTATCCGAACTCACCAGGGGCATTTTGAATATTTAGCTATGCCTTTTGGGCTTACTAATGCCCCAGATAGTATTTTACAACCTTATTTGCATAGGTTTGTTCTGGTATTTTTTATGACATTTTGGTGTATAGCAGAACTTGGGAGAATCACTTAGATCACCTCAGAACAGTCTTGGAGACCTTGCAACAGCAACAATTTTTTGCAAACAGGAAGAAGTGTCATTTCAGCCAATAGAGGATTGTATATCTGGGGCACATTATTTCAAATCAAGGGATTTCAATGGATTCACAAAAAATGGAGTGTATGCTGAATTGGCCAATCCCCAAAGATATTGTTAGAAATAATATAATGTTAAATAGCATTGTATTATTTATTATTCTGTTATTCTAGCAGGTTATTTGGGTTTGGCCCACTAGGCCATTTAACCTCTTTAAATAGAGGTCTTTTGTACAGTTTTATACACAATTGAATACAATACATTCATACATTCTAATTTGGTACCAGAGCTCTTTGTTTCTGGGAATTTTCGCTTTCGCTAAAACCCTAAGCCCACTGCTTAGGCGTTCTCCCCTTCCTCTAACGCCGTGCGTCCCTCCGGCTTGGTTCTACAATGTTCACCCGGGTACAGTTCATTGGCATTACTGTTCACGCGTTCGTACAGGTACTGTTCATGCATCATTTTCCGGCCATTCCGAGATAGAACAACTCGCCTTCCTCTCCTATTTTCAGATCTGGTCATCTCTTTTATTTTTGTGATGGAGGGCTCAGGTAATGCGTCCAAAAACACTACTGGCATCATTTCCAGTACTACCTCATCCATTACAACGATGAAACTGACCGGATCTGCTACTTACAAGACCTGGTCTACCTCAGTTAAGATCTGTTTTACTGGTCAGGGATACGGAAAACATCTCACAACTAAGTTTGCCGATATTTCAAAGGATCAGACATCTGAATGGGAAAAGGTTGATGCTCAACTGCTAAGTATCCTTTGGCAGTCCATTGATCCGACAATTATAGACATTTTCATCCCTTTCGAGACCTGCTATGACATATGGGAGGAAGCTAAAAACCCTCTACACCAATGACATTCAACAACTTTATTCTATTGTTTCTCAGATAATAGAATTGCGCAAATCACCAGAATCTCGAATGGAGACTTATATTGGTAAGATTCGTTCTTTGATGCAAGAATTCTTAGCTATGTTACTTCATGCTGCAGATGCCTCTATATACAAGAAGCAGGTGGAGCGCTTCTTTATGGTCGTGACCCTCTTCGGTCTTTCAAAAGAGTTAG